ATATAACCAGAGTTCTTTCTGGATGAAACCTAAAAAATTTGATGAAATAGCTAAAGCAGCTATATATTGCAGCCCAACAGCTAAAATGTAGCTGGGAATAGTGCAATTATCCCAAGGACTCATAAATTATAAGTAGCACAAATTTGCTAAAACTAAGCAGAAATTACTTGAAAAACAATCAAGAAGTGAAATTAGCCTAAAAAAGATAACTTTAGCTAATAACAGCTAAAATTTATTTAAATTTGCAGAAAATAGCTGAATACAGTAAAAAGCAACTTGAAGAAGCATAAATAGCTCAATTCAGCAGCAGAAAGAAGTGCAAAAGCAGAAAAAAGCAGAATTCTCACTGTAAAACCAGAAAAAAAAATACTAAATTTGGCATAAGGTTTTTGAACAAACCTCAAAAATTTTTAACTACAGCTTCAAAATGCTAAATGTCCCTTTAAGTTGGTCAACAACAATATGCAATTGTGAACAATCCAATCCTTAACATTTTTTAATCAAAACTTAAAAAGGCTGAATGTTTCTTTAAACAGATCRGCTGTTTAAATAAAATAGCTGTACAGAAGATAAAAAGGGATAAACYAATAGTTGAACAGAACTAAAATCTAACCAGGCATTCACACAACAACTTCTGCAGCTTAGACCAGATTAGCAGCAAAAATTCCTCAACAATTTTTGTTGAGRAAAATGATCATATCTGCCTTCTCAGGCAGTATGCGTGAACGTTCTGGACAGATAGTGTCTCCTGCAGTGGAGAACACASGTTCACTGGATGTTGACGATGCCTGAGCGCATAAATATGAGAATGCGAGATTCGACAGCAAAGGATAAGTCTTTCGTTGGTTCCACCACCAAGCAGCAGGGTCTTCAGACATAATGGTTGGTGGAATTTCCTGGTACATCTGCAGCTCTCTCTCCACTTGTTTTTGGATAGATACGGATCTCTGCTGCAAAGCTACATTCTGGGCCTCTTCCTCAGCAAACAGCTCCTCCAGTGGAGYCTTTCTGGGCAGTTTGCAGGGAGGCAGCTGCTAAATAAACAAGAAAACATCCATTAAAGTGATGATCATTAGAACTGAGAACCTTTTTACTTTTAGCTATCATACACTTACACTCACATCCTCATCCTCCTCCTCCTCCTCCTCTACTCCTTCATTCTCAGCCCGCATGGTCACCCCATCATCTCCTGCTGTTGACTACAAAGAAYAAAACTGGCATTTAGATCTCAGATTTCAATTGCTGAAAGGACAGTTGTGCATAAATGACATTTCACCTGCCCAATCAGCTTTCTCTGGATCTGGTCCCAGACGCTGTCATCCATCTTTTTAAAGCGCGGATCCAATGCAGTGGTCACTTGCAGAAAGGCTCTGATCTCATCATTCTGCAAAACATGTTTGAGTAAACCACATGAATAAAGCTATTTCTATTCTTCATTAATTATGTCCAGCTGCCTTCYTGCCTCAGTCACTTACCTGGTAGCGCTTGGATAGGTTTGACCAAACTTGTTTTTTAAGGTTGGATACAAACACRGKGTCTCCCTCTTTCACAGTTAGATGTGCCTCGAGCTTTTGCAGAATGGGCAGTATCTGTCCGCATGTGGGATTTTTATCTGAAGACACGCAGAGTGTGGATGT